AAAGGTTTTGAGGGTCGCTTTCGACACTCAAGTGTCGCTTTCAAGCGTGTTGAGGAATTATTCTCATGACGCTAGATTGCATGTCCTACCCTCTTATGCACACTGCGCATAGGAGTGGCAGGTGGGCTACGACCTTTTGTAGTGGCGAAACACCCTTAATTTATATGATGAAGTCCCATCTCCGGAGGTCTTTGACCAAGTTAAGGGATTTGACTTTGACAGTCGTCACGGACCTCAACGTCCAACTATAAAACCTAACAAGCAAATCGAGAAATTTATCTTCTCTCTCAACCCATATTTGCACGACTCTCTCGCATGGTCAATCAACCAGCGTGTGTACACAGGGTATAATGTGATTACTCAATATGAGGCAACCACTCTCGTAATCACAATGTGGATTCCTTCCAAATATGTAAGTCAAATCAAGAGTTCAAATAACAAACATGCCTACAATCAAACAAATATTCAACATCAACAGACCACACACTATATTGAGTCAACTTTTACCACTCCGTACACTCACACCTCTTGCCTTATCCATACAAATTTCAACCTTTGTCCAACCTTTCTGAATGAAATAACTCAGTCTTTTTTAAATTGTCATTTAATAAAAGTTTGGGTAAGAACCCAAAAAACCATTTCAACACACAGGGGCTAAGACCTTAGGTTGAGTTGAGAGAGTGAGTTAAAGTTGACAGGCGTCATTTATTAACATTGAAAGTGTATGGCGAAGTTAAATTGACCGTCTTAGTCGACTGTGGTATGACCGCGCATGGGAGATCAACCCCCAAAGCAGCGGTTTGCACGCGGGTTCGATTAAGGTGTTAACCGCACGTACCCCTTATGCTACAACAAACAAGAAATGACCTCGACTGGGCCACCTCTACAATTTCACCTGAACAACTTTCACATGCGGTTCAGTAGCTCGGTGGGGATATGCCCGTCGACAGGATGGTGACATCTCAACCAGGTGGAGGTGAGTTGTATCTTGGGTAACCTCTATCCTATCGTAGAGGTTCGCAAGAAGTACGACTGATACACTCGGCCCGAGCAGCACCACTCTTTGAGAAATCCTGCAAAATTTTGCATGACGCGATCAGGAGGATCCCCCTTGCGGGACCGATGCGCTCGACAACGCCTTTAAATCTAAATCCTTGAAATTTATTCATTATATGTGCATTGTTTGTATAGCACGAATAACTTACGGGTTAAGAACAATAGATTAAAACGTTGCACGTGCGAACTTCGTTAGTCGAGTTAACATGAATTGCAAGTCGATCCGGAAGATCAGCGCCCCGATGCCCGACACATATACAAATTAGTCTTAGACATTCTATCGTGCGTATCCCTATGCTACAACAATCGAGAAAACGCCCTCGGCTAACCTACCTCTGCGATTGCAAATAAACGCTTTTCCACCTGGGTCAATAGATTCGCAAGCATATGCCTACCTAAGGGTGGTGACAGCCCCTCAGGTAGAGGTGAGTTGTATCTCATGGAGTCTTATCCTGTTGCAAAGAGCCTTGAGAGGTATAGCTGGTGCGAATGATCGGAGTGGTATCTCCAATGACTCGACCCTTAATGCAATCCTGCGTGACATGACTGTGAGGTTCGACACTTACCGCAGGGTGTGGAACCGCCGCGACCGACACTTTAATGATAGGATTGATTGAAATCGGGCCAATGATAGTGGTTGTGAACCAGTAGGCCATTCACATCTTGTAGCCACTGAAGAAAATAAGCTTATGACAGTGGTAAGAGCAACTATGAGACTGGTGATCCTCCTCTGTAGCCCAATGTAGGTCGGGCTACAGGTAAGGACCACTTCACACCTGTGAGCAAAAATATGGTGAAACGTTTGGCTAACGGAAAACTGCCTTATGGGCACCCTTACCTTAGATTACTTCGTGAAAAGACCTGCCCGGCTATGCACCCTACGATCGTTGTACATCAATGGTGAGAAACGATGTGACATACAACGGAGGTCCCCTACCCCAGAACAAAACCTCGGCTAGTTCCCCTACCCCAGAACAAAACCTCGGTTAGTGGGGCTTGGCCCCGGGACTCCCAGTAGCAGAAATGGCCAAATCCAGACCTCTGCACTGACAGTCCCACTACTGGGAAAAGATGGTTTCCACAAGGCCACGAAAAACGTCACAAACCTGAAAACCACCACAAAACCAACAAGGAGCAGAGCTGAACAAACCAGAAAGAAAAGTGGTAGTTCTGAATTACCTGGGCCCTATCAATCGGACAACAATTTCTCACCCCCCAGTACTTGGCCCACGTCAACGGCTGGCCCGACCCACCTTAGAAGGCGTCTATGTATTTTAGTTCACTGGTGTAGTTTCCATCTGGTTTTAACTCACTGATGCAATTCCCATCTGGATTCGAACTCAGATCTGCATCTGAACAGTTCATGGGTGTACCAACTGAGACAGGCCCGCTGGTCCTTTGGCCCTTCGACACCCGGATATTTTGTCGCCGCAGCCTTTTGCTGCATGTTTCGCTTGCTGAGGGTAATGCTTAGTCAAGCGACGAGCAACCCGCGCCGGCTGTGAGGGAGGCGGGCCAGGTGTACGAGCAAGGGCTCGGTTATGTTCCCTTCTCTTTCCTCTCAGCAGGGCGAGTGACGTGGCCTATCATCCGGGAGGTAAGCCTTTCCATTCCCTACCTCTTGACCTCTGCTCTCCTCTCCTCCTTCTGCCGTCTGTTCGCTTTGTTGTTTTATCAATCATCCGTTCTGTCTACCGTATCTACTGTGGTGGTTTCAAGAGAACGAATGGCAGCCATGCCCAGGACGACAGGACTGGGATGGGTCAACCCTTCCACTGCTTGACTATTCTTCCCTGAGAGGCTGGTCCGGTGATCTTGGTCAAAACGATGGAGAGGAAGAGCTGAAGGAGGGCGATGAAGAAGAAGAGCTGAGGGAGGTCGATGGAGAAGAAGAGATGAGGGAGGGCGATGGCGAAGAAGAGCTGAGGGAGGGCGACGGCGAAGAAGAGATGAGGGGTGGTAATCGTAATGTTGACGGATTGTGGAGAGTAATGTCGGCGTAAGACGGAGTGTACGCTGGGAAGATTTCGATGGCAGCGAAATGGTACGAGAGAGAATAGGTCCATAACATTACAGTAGGATGAAATAAAATGGAGCAACAGCAGCAGCAGCAGCAGCAGCAGCAGCAGCAGGAGGAGGAGGAGGAGGAGGAGGAGGGGGAGGAGGAGGAGAAAGAAAACTAGAGCTCTAGAGGGAGATGAAGAGGATTTATCGAGAGGAGGAGAGGACGAGGAGGAGAGGAGGAGGAGAGGAGGAGAGGAGGAGGAGGATGATGATGAGGAGGAGGATGGGGAGAAGGAGGAGGAGGACCAGGGGGAGGAGAAGACGGGAAACAGCGGAGGAGGAGGCGGAGGAGGAAGAAGAGCAAAGGGAGGAGAAGAGGCAGAACAGGGAAGGATGCGGCGGGCAGTTATGGGTTTTATTAGTCGCTAATTTTGGTATGTTTTCCTCAGTTCTCCCCTCCTAGGCACCCCGCCCCCCCCTCCTCTACCTCCTCTGCTACACTATCTCACCCTCGGCTCTGCCACGTCACTCGTTTTTGTCGTTTTATCGACTTCTTCATCAGTAGTGGCTAGGAACGATGTGATCAAGCATCCTCCTCCTTCGGATGCTCACCTTCCTCTCCTCTCCTTCTCCCTTCTCCTCTCCGTCGTTCTATTCCTGTTACCGCCTTCTCCCTTTCCCGTATCTGTTTCCTCGATTTCAGCGCCTCCCTCCTCTTGTCCTTAGGAAGCAAGGAGCCGTCGAGGGGGGCCGATCTGTTCGAGAGGGGGAACGTGGAGAACAAGGCGGGGAGGGGGATCTACTTCATCATTTTGATCAGCCTGGTTATCTCAATTTGATCTGAAATAAATCTCTGTAAGGCTTACAAAGAAGTGAGAAAAAGGGAAAAGAAAAATGAGTTACAAGGAAGGAATGGAAGGCCTTAGGGTTTTGTGGCGGCATGGGTGTTCCTCGGTGGTCCAGCGGGGTCCTCCGACCTCCACCCTCTCCGGATGTTTTGTCACCAATTCCGAGTGGAATGGAGTAGGCATCGCTGCAAGGTGTAGTGTGCACCCTGGAGGAGAGGGGAAAGAGGGTATATCTTCTCCCTCCCTCCATGTCTCTATACTCACCTCCTCATCGTATCCTGCTCTTTGTTTTTCCCGCCCTGTCTCTCTGCTTGCCCACCGTGTCTCTTTGTTTCCCCGCCTTTTCTCTCTTTTTTACCCGCCACGTCCCCCCTCCGTCACAAGTATGATATTCCCCGCTGTTTTCACTGCCTAAAGCTTTTGTTTCATAGTTCTTTGCCTCTGAGATTTTCCCGTGATGTCCCTACCCATCATCTGATGCATCTGTACGTGCGCGAGTGCGTGCGTGTGTATGTGTGTGTGTGTGTGTGTGTGTGTGTGTGTGTGTGAGAGAGAGAGAGAGAGAGAGAGAGAGAGAGAGAGAGAGGGAGAGAGTGCTCTGTCTCCTCTCCTCTGATGTATCTGCATGCGTGTGTGTGTGTGTGTGTGTGCGCGCGCTCGCGCGTGAGCTGCGTTATTCGTCTTGCCCTCATCGAGCATCCTCCGGGATGCTGTCGTCATGATCATAGGATCATCTTGCCGTTTTTCTTTTTCGTTCTGCTAGGGCAGCCGTTCCTATGTTGAACGACGAAATAACAATAAAAAGAGGAAGCAAAAGAGCAAGAAAAAGAGAAAGAAAAGGAGAAAGAAACAATGATTTCGCTCATCTTGGCCCCCTTTGCTTTATCTTCTCATAGAGGTTAATTGCATTACCTTCCATCCCCTGTCTGGTACTGGGCCCGTTTAAAAAAACAACAACAAAAAAAAAATGCATTACCTTCCATCCCCTGTCTGGTAGTTATCATTGAAGTCGTGATGACTTTGGTTTCCTCCCTCACCTGTCCTTCACCTCTTCTGTCTGGTCGTCGATGGGAGGAGGGAAGAAATGGCGTGGAGGGGGTTGAAGGACGTATCGGGGTGGAGTGCAGGGGAGCAGGAGGAAGAGGAGAAGGTAGGAAACTGACAAGTTGTTGAACCCCTCCCTCTAATTTTCTCCTTCCCTCTCATTATCATGTGAACAGAAATGCGATGGTCTCTGGCTTGCTCTCTCTCCTGGAGGCTTTGTGCTATTAGGGTCCAGGAGTGTAATAGACCATGTGCTATTAGTGTCCAGGAGTGTAATAGACCATGTGCTATTTAAGGGTCCAGGAGTGTAATGGACCACGTGCTATTAGGGTAGGGTCCAGGAGTGTAATAGACCATGTGCTATTAGGGTCCAGGAGTGTAATAGACCATGTGCTATTAGGGTTGGAGGCTCTCACCGGAAGCGACCGAAAAGATCGGTGCCAGTGTACTGATAAAGCTGTAGGACTGTCGAACTACACTTCCGGGAAAACTGAAAAGAAAAAGAACCGTTATGCCTCTGGGCAAATGTACATGGTCACTCAGCATGTCCTGGCACATCTGACTGCATGTGGATTGCTTCACGTTTAGGTCCGCTCTGATATGGCAGGTCATCGGTAGTAGGTGACCTTCACATCACCAAAGGGACCTACTTGTAGGTCTACTCTAATTCCAACCCTTCCTCCACCCTCTCCCCCTCCACCGTCCCCTCCACCCTCCCCTCCACCCTCCTCTCCATGTGCTGCGTGTAACGCCCTCCACCCACTCTCCTTGTGTGTGTGCAAGTGTTTCTGTATGTGGTCTACCTCTGGGCGTTTGTGCGCTCGCCCGTGTGCGTGTGCGTGCGTGCGTGTGTGTGTGTGTGTGTGTGGGTGGGTGGGTCGGTGCGTGCTTGTGATTGCCTTTATATTGTCTAAAATTGTTTGTTGGTGTGTTTGTGTGTTGCTTGAAACGGTTTTTTTTTTTTTTTTACCTGCTGTCTTTTGGGGAAGGGGATTTCAGGGCATTGGGAGCGTGGGAGAGAAATACAACGCCATGGCTTTCTCCTGTTTTGCCGTCAGGTCGGCGTTGGCGATATCCTTGCTCGTGGTTCTCGGACTGGCGCTTCGCGCGGGTAATTTCCAACTCTCATGATCGATTACTACTCGGCTACCATTCCTGCCTGATGTGGGTGTTGTTTTTGCTCTGACTTCTTGCAATGGATAGTTGTTGTTGCCCCTACTACCGTCTTCCCCCGAACATAACGCATATGCGTTGTAAACGATTACAAGCAACGCACGGGTTGCTTTCTATTCGAATACGACGCATATGAGCTCTCTATTCGAACAACTCTGATTTTCAAATACGATGAATGTGTGTTCTATTCGGATTTTCGAATTCAACGCATGTGTTCTATTCGAGTTTTCCAATACATCGCATGTGTGTTCTATTCGAGTTTTCGAATATAGCGCATGCGTGTTCTATTCGGATTTTCGATTTTTTTTTGGAAAACTCGAATACAGCGCGTATGCGTTATGAGGTAGAACAATTCTCTCAGAGAGGATAGAGATAGCGTGCGTGCCATTCTCAAGACATGATGACGTCTTTTTTGTTTTCTTGTACGTCTCTTTTTCTCTTTTTCTGCTGCTTGTCCTCTTCTTTCTTTCTTTCTTTTTTTTCTTTTTTTTTCTTTTTTTGCTTTTTTAAAGCAGGTCCTTATGGCCCTGGCCGTTCCATTCTGGGGAGCAGCGCTGCTTGTCCTCTTCTTGTTTTTTTTCCCGAGTTGTATTTCCTCCTTTCTTTGTCTTCTCTTTCGACTTGTACTACCTGTCCCTGCTTTCGAGACTTCTTCTTTGTCTTTCCGTGTCGCACATTTCTGGTCCCGCATATCTAGTGTGTCGCATCTCCGGTGTCGCACATTTCTACTGTCGCACATTCCCCTCTGGTGTAGCACATTCCGGTTGCGGCATATGTCTAGTGTCGCTCATCTCTGGTGTCGCACGTTTCATTGTCGCACATCACTGATATCGCACATTTTTAGTGTCGCACATCTCCGGGGCAATCGCTGGCGTCACAAATTGAGTGTCGCACATGGCTGGTGTCAAGCATTTCAAGTGTCGCACATCCCCCTGTCGCACTCCTCTGTTTCACAAATGTATTCTCGGCAGGGCTGCACACTATCTATTTCTAATGTCGCACATCTTTGCTGACGCACAGTGCAGTGTCGCGCGTCTCCGTCGCCATCTCTGGTGTCACACATTTAGTGTCGCACATGGCTGGTGTCGTGCATTTTCAGTGCTGCATATCCCCGTCGCACACCTTTGTTGGTCATATCTGTTCTCGATAGTGCTGCATACTACCTATTTCTAGTGTTGCACACTGCAGTGTCGTGTCGGACGGCTCCGTCGCCATCTTTGGTGTCACACATTTAGTGTCGCACATGGCTGGAGGTGTGCATTTCTAGTGTCGCACATCCCCCCGTGGCACACCTCTGTTGCGCATATCTATTCTCGGTAGTGCTGCGCACTCTACCTATTCGTTCGTGCGCTGATTGCTTCGCTCCGCTGGCATTGCCACGCCTCTCTCATGTCTTGGTGCCTCGCTCCGCCGGGATCGCGACGTCTCGGTCCTGTCTTGGTGCCTCGGTCCGCTGACCCCCCCTCCTCGTGCAATAATCCATCCTTCCCCCTTCCCGATCACCTGCATCATTTGTTCTGCACATGTGAGGGTCATCTCGGCTCGTCAGTACTTTCATCTCCCGCGTGCTAGCCCATCAGCTGCTTGGCGTTCTTCCCCAGTCAGAGGTTTGCCCTGTCTACCGTCTTCCCCCGAACACAACGCACCCTCATTTAGGCTGTATCTGCCCGGAAGTATAACGCGTATACATTCATTTTTAGGGTGCGTTATGTTCGGGGGAAGACGGTAGTAACCACTTCCCTCCGTTTTTCCCCTTTGCCGCTATTTGCACATCTCTCCGTCTTGTTGTGCGACTTTTCACCAGGGCTCCAGGTTGCGCTAGTAGGAGAACGAGGTTCTGCTCGAACATGAGGAAGAAGGAAAAGGAGGGGGAGGGAGGAGGAGGAAAAGAAACGGTGGGATCGAGGAAGGTAGTAGGCAGAGCACATCGTCGACGACGCGCCCATGACTGCCAATGTCGGAATGACCGACGGGTGAGAGAGAGAGAGAGAGAGAGAGAGAGAGAGAGAGAGATGTGTGTGTGTGTGTGTGTGTGAGAGAGAGAGAGAGAGAGAGAGAGAGAGAGAGAGAGATGTGTGTGTGTGTGTGAGAGAGAGAGAGAGAGAGAGAGACTCTCTCT